TGGTTGGGTGGGTTTTGAAGAGGGAATTGAGGGCTTCAATATGGTATATTGGTCCGTGGAAAAAGGTGGCCGGAGGATGGAGTTATGGTGGTCCAAAATTGGTATCTCCAAGCTGTCCAAAATCCTGGTAACTCATTTTGGCGCTTTTTCGGCCAATTCCAACGAGATCACGGCCAGTGATTGGGTGGGTTGTTAAGAGGGCATTGAGGGCTTCAATATGGTATATTGGTCCGTGGAAAAAGGTGGTCGGAGGACGGAGTTATGGTGGTCCAAATTTGGCACCTCCAAGCTGTCCAAAATCCGACTGTGCTCACTTTGGTTCTTTATGTTTGAATTAAAGGCATAACGGTCCTCCAATGACCGTTTGTGAAAGCGCAGGAAACTTCAGTGACCGTTTCTACAAGTTTTGAATTTCAGTGACAGTTTTGTTATTTTTGCATAAGTTCAGTGACCGTTTGTGAAATTAACCCGTTTTGGATTGAGTAGCAGACATTTTTTCTCACTCTTCTCTCCTTTCTTTTTTGAATGGATAGATTTTGAGGAGTTCAACGTGTCGGATTATCCATGTCCGAATATCATGGCATACTCCAAAATCATGGTCCAAGCACCAGAAACATGACAAGATACATGAAAAGCAGGGGTCAACTACGACACGACCCGTGACAAGCAGTGGCACACATTAGTGCAAGGTACAATAGTAATAGGAAAATCTTATGAAAAAAATGAGTTAGTTTCACCAATTGTCACTACAATTATCCCCCGTCTGGTGCACATTTCTACTCCAATAATGCATTTTTTTTGTTGATGTGGTGGGGAATATGTGGTTGAAAAATATAGAAAAGCTATTGATGTGATGAAAAATATTATTTTATTGAAAAATGTATGGTTGAAAATAAGTAGAAGAACGAGAATGAAATAAATAACGTTGCTCAAACAGGGACTTAGTGAGAAATTTCAAAATAATCTTTTTTATACTATTGGTCACTAAAATAATTTATGTTAACGTTTCACAATTGGTCACTCCTTTACCAATACTAATGTATAACTTGACGTTGCTTCCTTTCAGCGCTATACATTGTCAATTCCACCATCAATTACGATATGTTGTACTAAAAACCTGATTATTTGATAAAATTTCTAAATCCATCTATCATATTACCTAACCCTAAAATCAATGACTTAGGGGAAATTTTGGACTCTCGGAAGAAAATTTGTGCGTGTTTTATTCAAGAAATCCAAAGGGCACGTCTGGAACTTAATATATGACACTTCAAATAATAAGTTAGTTTAATAATCGAGCGACCAATAGAGTAAGAAAAGCAACTTAAAACCACTTGAAATTTCTTACAAACTTCAATGACAATGAGTGAAAAAAAACTAAAATATAATGTGTGAGCCTGTACGCGTGGCGCGACTTAGTATGGACCGGGTTGGGCCGGAGCCGATTTACACCTGTAGATATATAGTTGGTGTAGAAAAAATTTATTCCTTTGGTTTTAAAATTCAAATGAAACGGACAAGTTCAAAGTATAAATGTTAGGTCTATACAATAATGTTGTCACTCCAAAGGAGTTATGTTCAGTTGCTACTAAAGAAAATGTCTATATTTAATGCTCAGGAAACAGGACAACTGTGTTCTTGTTTAACCTACATGCACTCAGCTAACATGAAAATAAGAAAATTCAACCTACTGGTCCTTGAGATGCAGCCAAGTACCATAAATAGAAATGTTCTTAAAAACTAATAAAAGACACTACAAACTCCAAATATAATTGGAAGTTATGGAGAATCTGGGCTACCCCACTTGGAAGGAATCTCAAGAAATTAATTATATTGATTAATTAATAAGGGTGGTGGATTTGTAACTAACTAATCCAAGAGTGTGGTACATGGATAACTATGTGTTAATATAATAAAGCTTGCCATGATGAAGAAGAGTTTGTAAAGGGCTGGCATTGAGAATTTGGGTTCAATCCTAAAAGGTTAACTTATCAGGTGGAGTAACTCAATCTCTACGTTTACTTACTTAATCGATGTGGAACTTTGTTCGCACTTTCCCAGCAATTTTCACTTCAATCGAAGTACCATATCATCTCAACTCCCCTCAAGCGAATTTATCTTCCCTCCTATGCTCCATTAAGACCCATCTCTTTCACTGCATTAGAGTCACCGTCTGACCTGTGTACACTTGCCTTGAGAGCCATCCATAATTTTTTTTACCATCGCCATGTAGCTCGGGGCTCACCTACTCCATTCAAATGCAAATGGGGATCCATCTTGTGTGTCCATATGGCTAGTTTAGGGGCTAACTCTCACACCACTTGTCATGGCAATCGGGGTTTCATCAAAAAATGCTTACGATTTACCTCATATTTAACTAATGTCGAATTTTGTTCGCTCTTTCTCAACATCTTAATCTTCCTATATTAAGATTAAGTTTACTGTATTAGGCATACACATTATAAGCTTATTTGGATTCATTCTTGTTAGGTTAAGTATGGTTGGTAAGGTGGGGAATTTGCCAGCAATGCCAAATAAGAAATTTGTGGAGACCTAGCTAGGTGCTTTCCTTCTGATGATTGCTATGATCAACTAAAAGCGTGTTTAATTACTATTAATTTATTTGTGTCTTTTTAAACATATTATGAGCATGTGATTAAGTGCTTCCGGCATCTTGAAGATAATACGAGTTGGTACTTGCATGGAGAAATACAAATAGATAACTCGTATTTTGTTCGAGAATTAATTTGTCTTAGATTCGGGAACAAAGGTTGGCACATTATTCTAGTAAAGTTGTAGAGTCTGTTAACGTATCAATTGAGGTACGTAATTTGTCTTGATTGTGACGATATTAATTCGGAAGTGATGACACTGGTACACTTTGAAAAGTATATTGGGTAGGACCAATAAGTGCAGCCCAATTAGCATTTTTCTAGGCTTGTAGCGAGAATTTCCATTTGTACCACTTAAGGTTCGGCCCTTTAACCTACTACCAAATGGGCTTCTAATATGTTCGATTCTATTCTCAAATATCGGTGAAAGGATAGAATTTAAAAGTGAATAGCAAAGATCGCATGTTTCAATTAAAAGCAAAAAGACAAAAACGTCAAAAACTTGCAAGAAATCTATGACAATAAATGAGTCTTAATCCATTATATCACTTTAGGAAAAATTTCACAATGAATTATTGAGATTTACTTTTTAATGGGGTCACTTAATAAAATAAAGAAGCGATGTTGCCTAAAGTAAGCCATTAATTTGTTGCTTTGTATATTGTCCATGGAATTTTATTTCAATCAAGTCATATCATGACCCAAGTTCCAAGAAGGGAAATATCATCCGGAGGCGGTCGTGAGGGTACGCATGTAGTACGATCGCACAGGATCTCAACATTATCGGAACACCGAAAAAAAATTTGTTATGTATAATTTTAAAATTTTTATTGTTATGTTAGTTAAAGGGCACAATATTTATGGAAAAAAGAGACAATAGTAGACAAATATTTTCTTTTATTTAACATTATTAACCTAATTGTGTATTGTACCAAGACATTTTATTAGAGTAAAGAAGAGGATTCACTTGGTTTAGACTCCTTCGTAGCTAATTTCAATATAGCGTGCTTAACTATTTTTCTTTATTAATTGTAGACATTTGACTTGGTATGATATGCAATTGTATAAGATACTAAAGCCAATAATAACTTGACTGATTAATTATAATTTTTTGAATATAATTGTCTTAGATAGTATAATGCCTTAAATAATGTAAGGGAAAAGAGGAAAAAGTATCATGCATTAAATATTATTTTCTTGATTCCAAAAAATTTGGGATATGGAAAATTGTATTCTTTTGAAGTTTGATATGTACACTTGACAAGCTAGCTTTGATATCTATTGAACAAGATTTGCTAGCTTTGATATGTACGCCTTGAATGGATTAGTTTTGATATCTATTGGATAAGATTTGTTAAAATATATTGGTTATGAAAGTTTAATTAGTGAGTTTGCTTTTAAAAATGTGAGAAGAAATATTTTAAAGTGATTTGTTGTATTTCAAGATTTACACGTGGTATTTGCTATTTTTGATTTTAACGTTTTCTCATATGGAGTTGCACGAAGAGTTTAGTGGCTTAGATGGTCATACTAGACCGTCTACCATTATGAGGTGTCAATCACTATGAGGTTATCTACATTCATATTAGACCGTCTACCACTATGAGGCTATCTAGTTCACACTAGGCTGTCTATCATTATGAGGCCATCTACGTTCATTATGAGGTCATTGACCACTACGAGGCTAACACAACACTTAACCATAAAAATAGTCATGAGTTGGACGGGAATCGTTCAACGGTTATCATAAACACAACCAACCGCTAGATAGGTAAAGTTCCTCCACTTAGAACGTGGGGTTAGTGGGAGGTGCTACGTGGATACGTGGCACAATAATGGCTGAGCAATTACATGATTTCAGACATACATAAATACTCCTAAGGCAAGACAAGTACGAGTCTTGAAATTTTAGCTATTTGAATACACAATTTATATTTTCCTTCTAAGTCTACGTTTCAAAATCTCTTACTAATTCTCACGACGGTCTCATAATGGTAAACGACATAGTTTGAGCATAGAGAACCTTATAGTGGTAGACAGTCTCATAATGATAGATGGCCTAGTATGTCGTAGAGAGCCTCATAGTGATAGACGACCTAGTAGAACGTAGAGGGCCTCATAATAATCGACTGCCTCATAATGGTAGACGGTCTAGTGTGAACGTAAATGGTCTCATAATGATAGACAAGTAAGACAACCTAGTACGAGATTGTTTTTTGTTGATGACGTGAATTTTGATAAAGTTTGAAAAGTGCTTTTAAACTTTACTAGTATTTTTCTTATTCACGACATGTAAAAATGTAAACAAATATTTAAATATCATATTTTTGTAATGAAATAATGTCATTGGAATTATATATATATATGTATATATATAATTACATTTAAGGGGCCCATTTTAAAATATCACACAGAATACCCAAAATTTCGAGGCCAACCCTGATACCATCGAATGGTCCAGTGATGGATTGAAGATGGATTGAAGATGATAATACCATCCATGTCCCGCCAATAAATTTCACCTGATATCTCGACCTAAGGCGAACTAGGGCGAAGCGGGATGCATCACCCCGTTTCTTTTCTTTTTATCAACTTTTCTTTGCTTTTGACTGCTAGATTGACTTGCATAATATGATGATAATCTTTTATTTGATATTTACTTTGTAAACTTATTTATTTCAATTTTATAATAGAAATGTGGGCAGTTTTTTTTTTAACATAAATTTGGCAGGTTTGGGGAGAGGACCATGGTCTTTGTCCCTTCCCCCACGGTGTTAACTTTCAGCCCCCTTTTGGTCCATAGACCCGATTAAGCGGGGAATTTCCGTTCTATTTAGGATGGGTCTCAGGATTTTTGCCATCCCTTCAATGGCCACTATCGAATATCCTTTCTAATAAATGCTCACATTCTACATGTATTATGAAAAGAATAATGTATATGCACATTCTCTTTAGACACATTTCTTAACATCCCTTATATGAAAGAAATTTGGATAGTGACGTGATTGTTGTTATCAATATCAATGGTGTAAATGTAGTCACCCGAAAGAGTGTAACCCTCGATGTCAATCACAATGTATATGATTGTAATGAAAACGGTCAGCTTTAATTGAAACTATATAAAATATCTCTAGATTTGACAAATTTAAAAAGTCATTTTCTTATTCATGTCGAATTTGACATGACACAATACTTAACAATTTTTTTCCCTTTTTCCTAATGTCTTTGCAAAAAATATACCTAATATTCGAGTAAAATGTTTCAACAATCACTGAACTTTAAGTATGGTCATGACTTAGTCATTGAATTTCAAGATCCTTCCAAATTGTCACTGAACTTTCAAACTTTGAACTCCATTCATCACTGGCCAAATTTCGTTACCATTATTGTTGACATATTTGACAAAAATACACGTGGAAGGTGATTACAAAATAAAATGTGACAAATCAGATGACTCAATCCAAATCAGCAAACCATCCCCCAACCCCCACCCCCACCCCCACTCACTCCCTAAACCCAAGCCAAATCAACCCACCCTATTGCCGCCGCCATCCATAGCCGCTACCACTCGTCGCCACCGCCACTCATCGCTGCCGCATCCGCGGATTGGATGATTCTCCCCACCCATTTCATCTTCTTTTATTCAAGCTCGTGAGGAATTTTTCTGGCAAAATCCCGATTCTGAAAGTCCAAAGGGCCCATACCCACCACCATCACCACCTCCATTTCATGAACACTTGAGTTATACATCTCTATTAATTTTGCCCCAAATTGAAGGAGTTAACTCCAAACATATAACTCATGATTTCAAATTTTGACCCAGATTTCGCAGGCAAATCATCCAAGCTCTTTCAAATCGATTGTAGGGCCAAGAAATTATTTGGAAATTGAATCGAAAAAGTGAAATAAAATGAAATAGAAACACAAACCAATAATTCTTCCTTCTCTTCAATAGGCAACTCATTTTCTTTTAAATGAATGCTATATAATCAGGGCTTATAAATGATTTCAAGAAGTTCTTCAATGGAGACAATAAACAAAATTGCAGAAAGAGAGTGACTTCAAATGAAATCAAATGGAAAATGAGAAAATCGAGAAAAATGTCTTTGATTCTTGTTGACTTTTTGGGGCGTGTTGGAGAAGGTAGCTTCAGATTGATTTTCTATAAATGTGGGTTTTGTTTTCGAAATTTTGAGAGCAAACGGTTGTACGAGCTCATGGAGGTGGAGGTGGAGGTGGAGTAGGTGGTGGTAGTGCAGGTGATGGGTTTGATTTGGTTTGTGTTTTGGGCGTGGGGTGATGAGCTAGATTAGGTCATCTGATTTGTCACATTTTAATTTGTCGTTGCCTTCCACGTGTGTTTTCTGTCAACCACATCAGCATTGACAGAATTTGGTTAGTGATGAATATGGTACAAATTCTGAAAGTTCAGCGACTATCTGGAAGCATCTTGAAGTCCAATGAGTAAATTATAATTATACCTAAAGTTCTGTGATTAATGAAGCATTTTACTCCCTAATATTCTGTCGTTCGACACAGTTCAAACTAATTAATTCACTTTGAAATTGTCTTCACCTTATGGGAACGTTTGCACAATTTCAAGTATTTCAAAGCAGTTCAATTATTTGCCACAATTACATCTGTAAGTGCACGTCCAAATTGTCGAAAGAAAACATTCATCTTATATAAATGTGTGTTATATGTCAAGTTTTCAAGGCAAATCCTTTATTCACGAGTGTCACAAAGATTTGACTAAAAAAAGAATAGATTGAGTGGTGATCTTAACAAAAGAAAGTTAAATCATGCGGCGAGAGGGGTAGACGGACAGTATTTAGTACGTGTTTGGTGAGAATTAAAATAGATTTTTATTGGACCCACAAAAAATGTGGTTAATATTAATTGTTTGATTTTGACTTATATTAAAAAGTGATTTTAATCTGAAACAAGCAGGACCTTGATATTGGATTGGAGTGAATAGTGGCAAAACTCCAAAGGATAGATATTTAAGATTATAACTAAAATAATCATGGTGGAATTTGGACAATATAATAGGGGGTAAAAAAGTGAATAGGATGTAACATCGTTTATTCTTTAGGTGGAAAATCAGTGTACTTGTTACGTGACCCCATTTCTGTCTATTTTTTCATTGTGAACCTCTCTATGAATCATACACTCTTAGTTTTGGATAAGAACCCCCCCTCGACAGACAACAGACGTGGTGGGATCCGCACAATTTTTTCTTTTAATAATGTGGGGCCCGGCCCCTTGTGACATGAGGATTTATTCTTTGGATAATTATCACGAGTTTAAGTACCAATACTAAAAAAAGAAAATGATGCTGCAATTCCTAAATTATCTAAACATTCTAGTTAATTTTAAGTGAAATCGACGGGTATTTCTAGTCATTTAAATACTAATGTTCTACCCTTTTTACACGAAATTTGAATTATTTTGACATTCTTGTCAATTGGACAAAATTGACTAGAATTTCTTATATGTTTCGATAATTTGCTCATATTTGTTTCTCATTCTTTCAAAACTCTTTTTTTCTACATACTAATTTTCAATTTTGCATTCATATAATAAAATGTTATTCACATAAATTCAAAATTTTTCATACCTTTTAAGCAGACATTCTCAAAAAAATTACTATTCAAAAACATGACCACCGAACAAGGGCTCAATCTTGCTTATTACCTTTACCTAGAGAATCTAGAGATGACAATGGACTGAGCTGAGCCGGCTCAGCCCTTATGCGTACGAGCTCGGCTCGTGTTCGTCACGAGTCATGCTCATGGCTCGTTATAGCTTTTGCTCGGCTGGTTGCTCGGGAGCCGACGGCCTGCGAGCTCGTGGACCGAGTCGAGCTTTAACTCGCAAGCTCGTCTATTTTCCTTTTTTTTAAGATAAACTTTTTTTGAAAAATAAAATAAAATAAACCCTCCTCCTTGGACGAGCCGTCGCCCCGTTTGCCATCTCTAACTTTACCTAGATTGCTTAGAGAATAGAAAATGCACTATAATTGCCCCCTCCTCCTCCCCGCAGGGATATAGCTCAGTGGTGCAAAAGATAGAAGTGGAGTAGTCTCAGTTGAACTGCAGCCGCAGTATAAGAGTTCGATTACTACCTCTTACAAGGTATGGAATTTGACTCTTTATGGGCACCAGTACGGCAACTCATATACTCTGACCTGTTGAGACACATCCCGCGATTTATCTCATCCACGATGCGGGACGAGGCCCTCAAAGTTGGAATTCAACTTTTTTTTTTTAGAAAATTAGGCTTATTTTACACAAACATAATGGGAGTACCTTACAGAGCACTTTTAGAGATAATAACACGTTAGTTATGTTTAAAAAAAAAAAAAAAACCCTTAATTTATGATTAAAGATCTTTATTTAAAAAAATTACCTAAATATTTTTTAAAACTCCTTGTACAATGTTGGATTACAACATCTCACAAGGGAGGTGGGGTCCACTATTATTTTAATCGCGGGGCCCACCTCCCTTTTGAGAGGTTGTAACCTAATGTTGTAATCCAATGTTGTATATGTAGGATTGTTCAATAAAATTTGGATAATGATAGATGTACATCAAAGTGTACATAAGAGTGTCCATAATGGACACCCGATACCTTTCTATTGGAGGGAGTGCAGGTGCCCCACGTTTAGATATTTTTCCCTCGAAACATGCAGTTCTTCATCCATGCTAATCCTTCTGTCCAATTTTCTCTCTCCACACAGACACTGGCGGACACAAGGGGGGTCAGGGGCTCCCCAACTTTGCTTTGCTTTTTTAATTTTTATTTTCTATGTTTTGTNCCGACGATCGTACGGTAAACGAATCTACAAATCACTTGTATCATCTCAAATCTTATTTCGAAGACTACATTATAGACATATCGAATAGTTCAAACAAATATCGAAAACAGGTAAAGATGCGTCAAACGTAGTCTTAAAAAAGAGGCCTCTAACTCTCATTTTTTTAAAAAATTTAATTATTTCATTAACATTTATTATTTTTGTGATACAAATTTCTCAATATAATTTGCATTATTTTATTAGGAAATTTATATAAAATATGACATCAAAAAATTTTGAAATTTTACATTCGAAAAAGTCATATTCCATGTAAATTTTCAGATGCAAAATTATAAGGGGTATGAATTTTTTGGTTGCAAATTTTTAATTGTAAAATTTCTTCCAACTTTTTTACAAGTTCGATTGTACCCCTGTCTAGTGGCCTAATTTTTCATAACATGTTCTTCTTCATAATGTTCATATGATCAGATCATTATGTAAATTTTCTATTTCTTCTTCAAGGGTCAATTCTTGCAAATAGAAGTGCACGTTATTATAGAACTCTGAACTCTATATTTCTCAGATTTACAGTCACCGGCGACTCTTTTTCCGGTAATAAACGAGACCCTTTACTCTGTTTAACATGATCTTGCAAAAGAATTTTTTTTTTTTGGCGCGAAAATTTGTCACTCACACGTGTGCACACACATGTTATGAATGTAAATGTGGATGTTAATGGGTGGGATGGTGGGTTAATGAGTGTATTATGCTGCAGCTGTATATGCAGTCGAATGTGTTGATTTCATAATATTTTGTGGTGTATTGAAGATTTAGATAGTTCAGTTATGTTGACAATAAATGGAAATGGGCCTTCTCATTTTTCTCGCCTTTTCAAGATTACTTTGAAGATGCTTGGCCCTCATTAAAGGCAGCCTTTTTTAGTTGTTTTTCACAGCAGCAAGGCAAAAAGCAGCTAAAAAATGGCTTTTAAACACGGCCAAATAGAGACCATATTTGGGAGAAATGTTTCTTACTTTCTTGTAGTAGAATTTAATACGAGTTTAATTCTGATTTACAATTTGATAAACGAGTGGATCATAATTGTGATTTGCTTTTGTGTTTGAATTTGGAGGTTTCCATGGATTTAAATGGTAAAGCTCCAAAAACTGCTGGGGAAATAGGCTTGATGGAGAACAAGAAAACACTAAGAGACGTCATTATCAATATTCCTGGAGATGAAAAAGACTCGAAATCCTCAGTCCTTGATGCTTCAACTGATCAAAAAATTAAGCTTTCAGCAGATTCATCTCATAGAGTATCGAATGATTCATCTTTAAGTGCTCAAAACGCTGGACCAATGAATTGCCCTTCACCAGAAAATCTGAAGATCAGCTTAAACTCCAATAAGCCTCCAAAAATCCCAAAAACTAAGACTCTCGCTAGAAGGACAACTTTTTCAAATTCAGTTTACTTAAAGTCCAAATCCAGATTTGGTGAACAACCTGTGCCTATTGATAGTAATATGTTTGAAGAAAATGGAAGATCTGTGAAAAATGCAATTTCTTATCAGGGTTCGCCTATTATGAGAATTGATACTAATAATTCTAGTACTAAGGAGACTATTAAGACGGCGTCCATGAGTTCAATGACATCTTTGAATTCAGTGCGTGGTGACTTGGGAGGTGTCGATGAGGGTGAAGAGATATATAAGAGAGTGAGCAGTAGGAAGAAGTTGAACTATAGGAAAGTGAAAGCTAAAGTTTTGATCGAGTGGGTACTGTTTCTCTGCATCCTGGGTTTCTTGATTACTTGCTTAACTGTTAACAAGTTGCAACGTTGGAAGGTTTGGGAGTTGGAGATTTGGAAATGGTGTGTACTAGTTTTGGTGACCTTTAATGGAATGTCTGTTACAAAATGGTTGATTCATTTTGTTGTCGTGTTGATTGAGCTAAACTATTTGCTAAAAAATAAAGTGTTGTATTTCATTTATGGTCTGAAGAAGAGTGTTCAGGTGTGCATTTGGCTGAGTTTCTTTCTCATCACATGGGTTTTGCTATTCGAAGAAGGCATTGCGAGATCACATCAGGCAGAACGAAGTTTGCATTACATTACTTGGACTATTGCTTCACTACTCATTGGTTCATTCTTGTGGTTCCTGAAGACTTTACTACTAAAGATTTTGGCATCTTCGTTTCATGTTAGCACGTTCTTTGATAGGATTCAGGAATCTATCTACCATCAGTACATTTTATTCACTCTATCTGGGCCACCACTTATGGAGTCAGCTCAGATGTTGGGTAAGACAAGCAGTAATTTGAGTCAATTCAGTTTCCGTGTGACGAAGAAGGCGAAAGGTGATGGGGAAAAGAAGAAAGAGGTGATTGATATCAACAAACTTCATCAAATGAAGCAAGAAAAAGTCTCGGCTTGGACCATGAAGATGTTAGTTGATATGATATCTAATTCCAGTCTGACCACTCTTACGAGTGCTATTGATGAAAATGTCTACGACGGAGGTAATGAACAGATGGATAAGGAGATCACAAACGAGGAGGAGGCAATTGCTGCTGCATATCATATTTTCAGAAATGTAGCTCAGCCCGAATCCACGTGAGCAAATATGTCTTATGAATATTTCCTTTTAGTGTATGTTTGATACTCAATATTGGACAGGTCAACAGCATAATAAACAAGACTTTTACTTCTTCTTTTTACCTTAATACTGTCCAATGCTATCTAATGCTCCCTACCAAACATACCATTAATGCATCAAACCTAACTATCAATGCAAATGCATCCTATAATCACTTACTATTATGGGCAGGTACATTGATGAACTGGACCTCCAGAGTTTCATGATTAAAGAGGAGGTGGAACTTGTATTCCCAATTATTGATGTGGCCGAGACAGGGCAGATCGACATGAAAACTTTGACGGAATGGGTGGTGTGTGAGATCTTTTCCCATTCTTGTTAAATCAGAAAAATGAACTAATCTTAATCTATTTGTTCGATTTGTTGTCTCTCTTGAAACACAGCTGTTTTGAGAATGTTTTCAAAAGCTTTAGCTCCGCTCTACTTTTTTTTTTTTTCCCTTTCGGTTCATTACTCTATCGGCCTTTTTCATTCTATTTTTTTTCAGCGCTCACTCTTGTTACTTAATTGTTGAAGACGACAACTACAGAAACAAAATAGATCTCATGAACTCACTAACTGATGTGCCAGATACAGTTGGTTGCTTAAATTGTTAGCATAATTCTGAAAATATCAAGCGACCTGTTGCGTGCACAATTTCATTAAAGAGTAGTTGCGAGATTGGCTCTAATACCATTTCGAACCACCTCCTCTTCTAAAAGGTCAAGCTAATAGAAAAATATTTATTTATTTACATGCAGGTGAAGGTTTACAAAGGTCGCAAAGCACTAGCTCATGCTCTGAATGATACCAAAACGGCTGTAAAGCAATTGAACAAGCTCGTTTCAGCGATCCTGATTGTTATTATGATAATAGTGTGGCTTATCTTGACAGGAATAGCAACAACCAAAGTTCTCGTCTTTCTCTCATCACAGTTTGTTCTGGCAGCTTTTATGTTTGGAAATACATGCAAGACTATATTTGAAGCTATTATCTTCGTGTTTGTAATGCATCCTTTTGATGTTGGCGATCGTTGTGTAATTGACGGCGTTCAGGTAACTCTCATCATATTCAGGTAATACTGTTCTATGTTGATTTCTTTTTATTAATTCATTTTGTCAATTATTATTTTACAGATGATTGTTGAAGAGATGAATATCTTGACGACAGTCTTTCTAAAATTTGATAATGAGAAAATGTATTATCCAAATTCTGTTTTGGCTACCAAACCGATCAGCAATTTCTATAGAAGTCCAGATATGGGTGATTCGCTCGAGTTCTCCATTGATTTCAAGACACCGCTCGATAAAATTGGTGCTCTCAAAGATAAAATAAAGAAGTACGTTTCCTTGAAACTGACCTCTTCATTCTCTTGATTATTTTCTTCCAATGCAGTCAGCAATTAAAAGTTTACATTGATCATTGCTCTTTTTATTGTAACAATGTTTTTTTTTCTGATACTGCATTCTTAATGGTCAGGTATTTGGAGAAAAATCCCCAACAATGGCATCGAAATCACAATGTCGTCGTGAAGGAGATTGAAAATGTGAACAAGATTAAGATGGCTCTCTTTTTCAACCATACTATCAACTTTCAGGACTTTGCAGAAAAGAGCAGACGCAAAACGGAACTTGTCCTCGAGATGAAGAAATTTTTTGAAGAGTTAAATATTAGATATGATCTCCTTCCTCAAGAAGTTCATTTAATCGATCCGGGAACAATGACCAAAGGGACAGGCAGATGAATTTACTTTAAAACGTCAAGGGACAGGCAGAAGAGGCTGCAGCACCCACCAACTTCTGATACTTATTTCTAAGCCATTGCAAGTGATGCCATCATAATCAGTGTGTACGAACCCATCAGTGTTTTCAAACTTTGATCCAGTCAAATCGAGTTAATTAAATTCTACATCATTTTGTGTAATCTACCATGGAATAATATCCTTGTACAAAGAGATTGAACAGGGAGATTAGCAGGTGGCCAAACTGTATTGATTCGGACAAAACTGTTATTTTGCCCCAGCCTCAATGAATTAATGCGATGTCTCCCTATAATGCTTCATGTACAATCTCTCTATACATGTAGCATGATCCATCTACCACCCCTCTATCGATGTACAACCCTCTCACATGCATGTCAAATTTACAAACTACAGGCAGCATTACATGGAACTTTAAAATATACATAAAGGTTTTGCTATTTGTACACACCTAGGTGTACACCCCTTACAATAGAAGGGGGGCCCTGTGAGGGGGGCTATACATGGGGTGCCAACCCCGGTGTACACAACAAAACCCTAAACATATGTACAAACTACAGGCAGCATTACATGAAACTCTAGAATATACATAAAGGTTTTACTATTTGTACACACCTAGGTGTACACCCCCACACAATAGAGGGGGGCATTGTGAGGGGGGCTAGAAACGGGGTGTCAACCCCGGTGTACACAGCAAAACCCTAAACATAACTTTCGGAAGCCCAGAGTTTCCAACAAACAATGGTGACGATTTTTCTTTTCTAGGAAATTTAACAAACTGAACAGGCCATTTTACACAATCACAAACAATGGAGAATCTTGGAGAGGAGATGACAAACAAATATAAAATTTACACTTTGGATAACAAATTCATCGATAATTTTCTCTGTAATCATGTTTCTCTAATTTATCATTAATAAAACATAAAAGTAACCTTTCTGAAAGGTAAAAAAAATCGACTTACTATAGACGTTTATCACAAATACGAGGGGCTCATAACCAAGTAATTTTCATATAAACACGTTCACAAACACCAGTCAAATGCTTAGAATTTCCCCTTCCCTACACTACGGAAGGGGATGAGTGGATGACAATATGACTTCCAACTGAGAATGCATCAGTCATTATCCTAGTAAAACAGGGATCAGCAAACGATCCCCTTGTTTGTTAGTGAATGAGGTACAAGTGCCAGCCAGCCTTCTCTCATGTATTTCCTTTTCCTTTTTATTTTGTTCTCCATCCTCAAACATCAGATTTGCCAATGATGAAGAACTAAAAATCTGAATGATACAAGCAAACTAAGCTTGAATGAGTCACTGGTGAACGGCATAGAGGACATTCAGGCTTTTCATTACACCATTCCATAATGCAATTCCTACAAACAAAGAAAACGATTCAACGTATGAGGCGACGGGGAGTGTAGATCAGCAATGAATACATATTAAGGTAAAGAGAAGTGTGTCGGAGTCCATACCAGCAAAATACGTGACCACACGGTGTGGCTGTCGGATGTTGACGAGTACTAAGGCAAAGAGTGCATTTGCTTATTCCACCAACCTGAAACTGAACAGAACAATTATACTAAAGTCACATTAGTAATTCGTAACCACGTCTACTTAATCCTGGAACAAGACCCAATTGCTTTAAATTGAGATAGTAATACTGTAGCTTGTAATAATTGTTTCGCATGATTGGTAAACTTGGAAAAAGGTGACTTTTTGAGATGATGGAGACCGAGGAACGATATTCACCAGCATGAAGTTTAAGCATAGCCTCAGCATCCAACAAGAAGGGCAAGTGCAATAATTCATACTTAGACAACAGGAAGACTGTACTAGTACCTATAAACCATAGACGTCTAAAATGTTTGAACCAGCTTCAACAAGCTGATGCTTGATTCACTATCAGCTTACTAATTTTTGGTATTACGTAATTACCTTAGCAATGTATAACTTGAATATGATTAAATCATAGTAACTTATCCCACCGGCACAGATGCGCACACAGAGAGCGACTCCTGGAAGTGAGTTTCAATAAAGGGTTATACCTCTGATGTAGATGTTGATTCAGAAATCCAAATACCCTTTCCAGAGTCTTCACTTATCACATTGCCATCTTCATTTATGACAGGTAAACCTCTCCCTGCCAAAATGCAAATTGAGACAGGTGTTGAGTAATTTGGTCGACTGACCGATAAAGAATCCCCGAATGTGAAAACATTGGCTTTCTAGACTAAGCTGAATTTAAAAGTGGCTGTGAAAACATTGTTATCAAAAGCACACTTGGTCAAAAAAATTTATATAGGAATTTTTCCACTACAAAGACCAGGACTTAGCCTCCCTCCCAGAACAAGTGTTCATTACACGAATAGTACACAAGTGTTAACAGAAATAAATTCTCAGCAATATTCTGACTAAGATCCATCACTAGACAAAGTATGAATATTTTTGTAATTCAGTACATAGTAGATACAGCCTAAGAAACACAAATCACCGTCATAAAATACAAAGTTAAAATGATGACTTTATAGCAAATGATGTCAAAAGAAATAAACAACCTGTGGGAGTTTGATGGGCTCCAACAGATGATTGCTGAAGTGTATTCGTAAAGGAAGATATATTGCTTCGCCTCAATCCTTCAGCAGCAAGGATACATAGCTGTACTAGGAGGAAAACCCCCAATATTTGATATCTGCGGAAGAGAACTTTAGAGACTACTTTTTCAACAGCGCCCATATAACAGAATAAAGCTAGAATTTTACAATTGAAAAATAATACCAAAGAACAATTGTCTCCAACAACATAGCTATATATATCCCAATGTGATCTTCAAATATCTTTATCATTAGATAATTGAATATACATGTTGAGCAAAATATAATCACATGAAAATGTAGTTGTCGCCTTGCAATTTACAAGACCAGATCCTCATAGAACAATTCAAAAAGAATATATAATCAAAGATTTGCACATTTAGGCCTAATTGAGGGATTTTACAAAGGTATGGATCCTAATTATTTCATCAAAATTAAATTCGGTGGTAAAAACTATGCCAATCGACTGGTTTTTTTGAAAGGTGCCAATTGACTGGTTAGACACAGAGAGGAAATCATTATACAGGAGAAATGGTCCAACACAGGCATAGTTGAGGGATATAAAGAACAAAGGAAACAATCCCAATGGTCACTCAATAAAAAAGCTCGACGTCCTGAAACTCAATGCCTGACTGTAACGATGTCTAGTATGCATTCTGAATATCTGTCTGTTTAATGAATTGAAATGAAATGAAGAGACAAAACAATGAAACAGTGTTTTATATGCTAAATCTCCATCTGTCCAAATGTTGAAAATTATCAGCACAAAATAGTGTTTCAGCAAAACCAACAAAACATAAAAGATTCCAATTTTCAGAACCAGAATGCAAAACAAAAAAGTGAATAATTAATTTTAGATAAGTTTCCCCATTTGCCAGGAAAAAAAAAGGTTCTGCATTAATGCTACTAAGCATAAGCACCTAGGTCGTTGATTGGTTGGTTTTCCGATAAATACATAACGAATCCCAGCAGCTCGATTTGATATATGATAATATAAGCCTGCCACGAAGAAAAATCGCAAACTATTAACAAATCACTCAATTATTGAGTATACCCACACAGAATATGCAAAAACGCCAATTATTCACCTTCAAAATAAAAGAACATAAGGTTCGTCCGGAGAATCAGCATGAAAAGTTCACGGGCTAAAGGAAGCATCTGAAAAGAACATTATGAAAGATAAAAGAAAGTTGGCAAGATGAGTAACTTCAAATAATAGAAACCATTTCCACATATATTTATCCTCCAACTATATATATACAAGCTAGCTCAATCAATCTGTAATGGAAGAGAGCATACTGAGGGCCACCTCTGCACTGTATATAACCACAATCCAGTAATTTTGGTTTTCAATCTGGACAAAGCTGAAAGAGGACCTGTTGATGCTGAGGTCGATGGCATTTGAATACTGGTAGACGACTGAGTTTGGCTGTTTGATGTAACTTCGTCCTCATAGGGATCATCAGTTAGTGAATCAGCCATTGTAATACCCCGGGAAGCAATTCGTGAGCTGCAAACCAAACACATCAAAAACTACTTCAGTTGATAAGCACCTGAAGTTTCATATAACATAGAACCTACAGGCTAAATAACAGAACATAAGCTGAGCTAGGAGCTGACAGAGCTGGGGAGCTGAGTTTGGAGCTGATTAAGCAGCTAACCAAACAAGGAAGACGGCAGTGAGGCTAACTATCAATTAGTTAGTTAGTTTTGTTCATCATATACACGTGTACTTTTTATATTGGCTTGTAAAGTTAGATAGTTACAAGTAGTTAGTTTGTTAGCTGATTGTATTTTGTATTTATACCCAAACTTCTGTAATTTTTCATCGATGAGATTGCAATACAATTGAGTTCAATTTCCATTTTCATCTCTTCCGTTTTTCCTCTTCTTTTCATCTATTCTTCAATATGGTATCAGAGCATATTTGCTTCTATTGCGTGCTCTTCTAAATTCGAACATAATTTCATTGAATGATGGCATCAACGGCAGCAAATAATTCATCATCAATGAACAATTTCTCCGTTAATGATGGATCGAGTCCTTACTGCATTCATCACTCAGAGAGTCCGGCCCTTGTGCTAATGTCACAACATCTCACTGGTGACAACTATGCGTCATGGAGTAGAGCCATGGCTATAGCTCTATCCGTGAAGAACAAACTCAGTTTTGTGGATGGAACATTACCCAAACCTAAAGCTGATGATGATAAGCTCAACAATTGGATTCGCAGCAATAATATGGTCATCTCATGGATTCTCAATTCCGTGTCTAAGGAGATCTCTGCTAGTCTCATTTATTTTGAATCCGCACATGACATATGGATCGACTTGAAGGAGAGGTTCCAACAGAGCAATGGACCTCGAATTTTTCAACTTAGGCGTGAACTGATGAACCTCACACAGGTACAGTCATCTATTGGTGTTTATTTCACCAAGTTAAAGACGATATGGGAGGAACTCAGTAATTACAGTCTAGTTTGTTCATGTGGAAAGTGTGATTGTGGTGGTAATAAGAGAATTTCAAACCACTATCAGATGGAATGTGTCCTTTTTAATCGGGTTGAATGATACATTTGCACAAGTAAGAGGACAATTGTTACTTATTGATCCAATACCTCCTATCAACAAAGTTCCCTCTCTTGTTTCTCAAGAGAAACACCAAAGGAACATCAGTACTTCTACTGCTGGCGATTCAATGGCTTTCTATGCTAATACCAATCATAAGAAAATCAATTCAGGACAGACATATAACAAGTTTCAAAGGAAAGAAAGACCTATATGTACTTAAACCATATAGTGAATAAATACTATAGGTTAAATGGATTTCCTTATGGCTATAAAATAAAGCAGAAGTCTGGTTTCAATGATCAATTAAGAGCTGCCAGCAATCAGTCAAGGCATGTGGTTGCAAATCGGTTGCCTCTGAATTTAAGCAAGCACAAAATAACATAGGAGATTTCATGCAATCCTTGAGTGGTGCTCAACATCAACAGCTGATGAACATTTTCATCAATCATCTGAATTCTGCAAAGGTTTGCACAGAAACTGATGAACATTCTAACCAAGTCTCGGGTACTTGTTTCTCTATTGCTCTTAATTCATGGATAAATTCACCTATGCATTGGGTGGTGGACTCTGGAGCAACCAGTCACATATGCTCCAACCAATCTGCATTATGCACTATGAAGCCTGTTAAGAATACTTATGTCACTTTGGCAAATCATAAGAAAATCTCGGTTAACTTCATAGGAACTGTGAAGTGTGGCCATAATCTGATACTTACATATGTATTATATGTGCTAGCATTTAAGTTTAATATGATGTCAGTTAGATCATTGACCAATAATTCTTATATTGAAGTCGAATTCTTCACTAACACCTGTGTTATTCAGGATACACGCAACCGGAAGATGATTGGCAAGGGTGAAAACACTACTGGTTTATATATATTGAGTGATATCTCAATTAAAACACTACTGGTTTATATATATTGGGAAGTAACCTTTTGATTGATGATGTTTGTGTCTCTGTTCGCTCAGCTGTAAATAAAGTTAATGCTCATACTTGGGGCATCACAGATTACGTCATCTGTCATTTCGAAAGTTAGACGTTCTAAGGGATCAATTACATTTGAGTTGTAACAAGTATGGAAACTATAATTCAGTTCCATGTAAGATCTGTCCTTCGGCAAAACAGAGAAGGCTTCATTTTGTTTCAAACAATCATTTTTCCACCAATGCATTTGATTTGATCCATTGTGATACATGAGGGACCTTATCGTGTTTCCTCTCACTCAGGGTACAGATTTTTTCTAACTTTGGTTGATGATTGTACGCGTTTCACACGGGTATATCTCATGAAACACAAATCAGAGGCCAACTGCATCATTCCAAGATTTTTTAAGATGGTTGAAACTCGATTTCAGAAAGTTATAAAGAAATTTAGATCAAATAATGCATTGGAATTGAGGCTTACTGATTTCTTTCATTCTAAAGGAGTTATTCACCAATTCATTTGTGTTGAAAGGCCCAAGCAAAATTCGGTAGTTGAGAGAAAACATGAGCACTTGCTTAATGTAGCAAGATCATTATATTTCTTGGCACAAGTTCCCATTCAATTTTGGAGTGAATGTATATTGACTGCCACCTTCCTCATTAACAGAACTCCATCTCCCATCCTACAAAATAAATGTCCATTTTTTCTATTATATAAAGTTCTTGTAGACTACAATCAACTCAAAGTGTTTGGTAGTCTGTGCTTTGCATCCACTCTACCATCAACTCGAACCAAATTCACTCCTAGATCTAGAGCATGTGTCTTTGTAGGATATCCTCCAAGAATTAAGGAATACAAATTGTATGATATCCTATCTAAAAACTTCTTTATTTCTTGTGATGTGGTTTTCCATGAACACATATTCCCTTTCCAAACTATTTCTGATCATTCTAATTTGATTGATCCTTTTCCTAATCATGTATTGCCTATTTCCACTTCTACCTTTGATTCTCATATACCCGTGTCTACATCTCAGTCTACAGTCCTGTCTGTTGCCCATTCAAGCTGCAAATACTGACCATGATTTGCAGATAAACTCACCTCCTATCACTGATCCTCCATCAAAAATTCTCAGAAAGTCTTCAAGACTCAGCAAACCCCCTTCATATCTTTGAGATTTTCACTGTAATCTCCTCACCAATAATAAACCCCACCATGATCATTTTCCATATTCCCTGTCCAGATATATCTCCTATAAGTTCTTTTCTCCATCCCATCGTCATTACTTGTTGAATGTGTCATCAAATTTTGAACCAAAATGCTATCATCAGAAAGTCAATTACAATCATTGGAGATCTGCCATGGCAGCTGAATTAGATGCAATGGAAATGACCAATACTTGGTATGTTACAGCATTACCTGATGGAAAACATTCTATTGGATGTAGATAGGTCTTTAAAATCAAATACAACTCAGATGGTGGCATAGAAAAGGTACAAGGCATGCTTGGTGGCTATAGGATATACTCAGCAGGAATGCTTGGACGTCAATGAGACCTTTTCACATGTTGCCAAGCTTGTTACAGATAAAACTCTTCTGGCAATTGCAGCAATGAATAATTAGCATATCATTCAACTTGATGTTAACAATGTTTTTCTTAATGGGGATTTATTTGAAAAAATATACATGGACTTGCCATTGGGATATAAAGAGTATGCTGGTTCTAGAATTCAGGGGGAGAATTTGGTTTGTAAACTCCACAAGTCGATTTACGGGCTTAAGCAAGCATCGAGACAATAGTTTACAAAGTTCTCCAGTACCCTTGTTGATCATAGCTTCAAGCAGTCCAAATCTGATTATTCATTATTCACAAAGGGCGCTGGGAGTACTTTTATTGCTCTATTGGTCTATGTCGATGACATTCTTATTACTGGTTTTGCTCAACATGAAATTAATTCCCTAAAAGGCTTCTTACACGCTCAGTTTAAGCTGAAAGACCGTGGGAAGCTGAGATATTTTCTTGGTATGGAGATTGCAAGATCACAAAGGAATCTTCATGTCACAAAGACAATATGCTTTGCAAGTGCTTGAGGATACTGGATTCTTGGCGTGTAAACCGAGTGTGTTACCTATGGACCCTAAACTCAAAATTCGTAAGGGAGATCTACTTACTGATGTATCCATGTACAGAACACTTATTGGTCGACTCCTTTATCTAACCATATCCTGGCCTGATATTACCTTTGCAGTCCACAAATTAAGCCAGTATGTTTCACAACCCAGGAAGCCACATCTTGATGCAGTTCATTACTTGTTGCAGTATATTAAAGCCAGTCCAGGGCAAGGGATTCTATTCTCTGCAACCACTTCTTTTCAATTAAAGGCTTCTGCAGATGCTGATTAGGGTGCTTGTTTGGATACAAGGAAATCGGTTACTGGCTTTTGTGTTTTTCTTGGGGGTTCCTTGATATCTTGAAAAGCCAAGAAGCAAACCACCATTTCCAGATCCTCAGCTAAGGCTGAATATCATACTCTAGCTGCCACTACTAGTAAACTGGTATGGCTAACTCAATTACTTCATGACTTCCAGATTTTTAACAAAGATCCAACATTAATATTTTGTGATAATCAAGCGGCAATTCACATTGCTTCAAATCCAATTTTTCATGAACGCACTAAGCACATAGAGATCGATTGCCACTTTGTTCGAGATAAAGTGATTGAAAGTTTTATCAAATTATTACCAGTTCGTTCTACTCACCAATTTGGCTGATATCTTTACAAAGGCTATCTCAGGCTCTTTGCTATTTCCACCATTATCCAAGATGGGTGTTATCAATCCTCACATTCCATCTTGAGGGGGAGTAACAGAACATAAGCTGAGCTAGGAGCTGAAAGAGTTGGGAAGCTGAGCTTGGAGCTGATTAAGCAGCTAACCAAAGAAGGAAGATGGGAGTGGGGCTAACTATCAATTAGTTAATTAGTTTTGTTCATCATATACACGTGTACTTTTTATATTATACACGTGTACTTTTTATATTAGCTTGTAAAGTTAGATAGTTACAAGTAGTTAGTTTGTTTCTGTAATTTTTCATTGATGAGATTGCAATACAATTGAGTTCAATTTCCATTTTCATTTCTTCCGTTTTTCCTCTTCTTTTCATCTATTCTTCAACACTAAAGAAAACAAAGTTCAGGCAAAAATCAAAGTAAAGTGCAAAAGAACCTGACTCTTTCTGCAATGTATGGGAATGCTGTTTGATAAAAAATAAAAAGGGCACGCCTTGCAGGGGTTGGAGGAAGTCCATATGATCCTGCAACCTGTGAATTGAAAAACCAATACATTGAATCGCTGATGGTATGGACCAAATGCCAAATGATTTGGTATTAATTTACATGTGCTTTTCCTAACAACATAAACTTGAAGTTTCAGAAAGATTTATTGTCCATCATCCATATCTCAAACAAAACCCAGAAGATAAGACTCGGCAAATCACCTTTGCAGCTGAGCATTTGCTATTAGACTCATAGTTTGATATCAATGATAAGTACATTTAGCCTCTTGTAATCAGCACAAGGTTGTGCGATGCCATATTTATAAAGAGGGGCAAAAATGATTTAAGATTCAAAAACAACAAAAAAGATCACATGAATGTATCATTTTTTCCAATGTTTTTGGCAGCTTTATCTTGGGTATATACTATGACTTCCTTTTAAACATTGATTCATTATATTGAGTATATACACCTTGTGCACTTCAAACTCAAGTACACATGCACGAAAGATGCACAAAAATTGAAAAGCCTACCTGAGTAATGTCACAATATTCCTCTCCTAGAGTCTGCTTTCCTGCACCCGTAGTTAAGACATAGTAGAGCATCTGCCCCAAAAGTTTTGTCTGCATAACAACAACCCATGACCCTCATATCTTAGAACAAAAACCTAAATTTATCCACCATAATCTGTGGCAGCAAAAGAAAATAGTGCAAATACCAAAAAATCTTAAAATAATAAATACACCATAAGCTCGAGAGATTGTTCTCAATCAAAAATCTAGCATTTACATATTCAACCAACTAGATGAGTTTCAAACTAACTTCAGATAAAGAGATTATTAATTCCTCAATCAGAGAAAACAATAAATTAAATTACAAAAACCATTAACAGCAAAAAAACAAAAATAATAATAAAATAAAATAAAATCCACTTTTTATTAGTGAAACAACGAAGATACGGACCTCACTCTGATAGGCAACAGCAATTCGTGTACCTAAATGAGAAGTTAAAAAAATCGAAATTCATTGAATAATTTTACATTTGCACAATATCAAAATATCCATATGCACAAAAATAACGAATAAATAAATAAATAATTGAGATGGTAGACCAAAGAGGTGGCGGAAGGCGTCACGGCAGGCGTCATAGACGAATGAGGCGTATTGGTCGTCTTTTTCCGCAGCTCGCATAATTTCCGGCTGTGCAGCCAGAGGAAACCTTCGCACGCTGCCGGAGGCAGTGGAGGAGCTGCCACTTGTCCCCGCTTCGGCGTGACTAGTACTGGCATCTCCGGTGCCGGAAGTTGATTCTCTCAGTCCCATCCCCGCCCACAACAATTCTCTCGATCGATACTGAAGAGATAGAGCTTCTCTTGGAATTCGCCAACTGTCGTGAAATTCCCGATTTACCCTATCCAATATTAGCAACCCTTTTTTTTAACCGTCTCACACAGTCACACCACCCTTTTTTTATTCTTACATTTAAATTGCATCGAGTCCTTAATATTTATTTATTATCACATTTATGTCCTTTTACATAACATTGCTATCTTCATTCTTATATTAATTTGCATAAATTGTTTTCAACGATGATTTTTCATTCAAAAATTCGTCAACATGATTTAAAATGAAGGACAAATATTTAATTGCAATCGAATTTATCTTTTTCTTATTTAAAAGTACGGAGATAAGTAAGTCTTTCTACTTAATTTTAACAAATTTTTGGACAAACTCCGTTATCTTTTTGAAGATACGCTGATGGATGTAAGTTGAAGATAATAATACGTTAAAAACATTAGGGACTTAAGTGTAACAATCAAAAGAAATTACGATATTTCATGCACTTAAAAATTACGTAGTCATGGTATTGTTAAGCCCATGCTTATAGCCCATTGGCATGAATACTCAGCTCATTCTAAATGTCATGTTGTCACGTTGATGTAGAGTCGAGCTCCCTAACAATAAGGTAACCTAGTACAAAATTGTTGTCTTCAACTTCACAACTCGACTTGGACCCAGTCACTTCGGTTAGGATGTGTGCCCTCGTATGAGGGTTAATGTAGTTGGCTCGACTGCGGAATTATGACACGTGGTTGTCATGGAGATTAAGAGCAGTAGTTGTTGGCAATAAATTAAAGACAACCATAAAAAGATAGGGTTTGTTTGGCATTGAGAGACTTAAGGGTTAAACTACAACTAAAAGAAGCAAATTAATTTCATATAAGCTATAAGCCTATAAGTCATAAACATGGTTGCTTCTACCATGACCGGAGCAATTGCTTATTTTAGTTGTCATAATTTAGTGCCACCAAAGTCTTAAAAGACCTTTTCATGTCCATTTCCTATATATTTCCCACCCATAAAACAACCAAAAAGAGTCAAAGACTAGTCATTAGTACAAGCTTCGTCGACAATTAATCGACTGAAAACATAGCAGCGACCAAAGTGAGAGATGCCGATCGAAGTTCCAAAAGTGTTGGGAAATAAAACGAATCGAGGTAATGTATGTGATACGATATGAAATATATGATCGCAAACAAACAACAAGATAAAAGACAAAGAATTAATCGACAAATGAACGGTGTATTTTATATAATTGACTAATATAGAGAAAACAAATACAATAACTTTGCTCACACAATTATTCTATATTTCAATAATACAAAACTTGTGAAAATTGTCTAATATTTATAACGGTGAATATCAAACTCTAAAAATACCACAAAGATACTTTCCCAATAAAAAGACGTGCAAAGAAAGAAAAAATATCTTCTCAAAAATTCCAACATAATTTGAGTTAAAAAATCCAACAAGCTCCACATTGACACAAATTCCGATGCAACGAACGAAATTCTAAAATTTCTCCACCTGAAAAAAATAAATCTGACTACAACGAAAAATCTGAACTCTTCAACAAGAACCAAACTTTCTCCGACACAAAAATACTCCTCATCTTCCACGGTATCCAACGTGAATACATGAACTCGAACACCGAGTTTCCCAAAATTCACAAAGAATTAAAAATTACCAAATCCTGTCAAAGTACACCATGTAGCAAAATGCTTTCATGGAAAGCCCCAGCTAGTCACAATACCTTTAAAAACACTAAAAGTTTGGGCAATCGAATCAGCATCCACGTAGCTATCTCCAATGGTCTATCCCTAGGAGTTGAATATGATGGAACCGCAGGTAATAGTGGCAAAGCGGAATTACCCATATCCTCCAAACTCGACTAAGTAGTATTCTTCAATATGAACCTCGAACCAAATTCCAAAGTTAGAGTAGCAAATTGAATCTTCACCAAGATACTAAATTTGTGCTGACTTTTCTTTTCAAATTCTGTCTGACCTTGCAAGATGTATAACTGGATCTCTTCCGCCCCTCCAATAGAACATGAACACCCTTTCGACCTCTCAAGACTCTACCTCCTCCAAAGAATGTGTACCATTTTGAATTAAGAGTACTAAACGAAATGAGATTATTCTTCAAGTCTGGAATATGTCGAACGTGATCAAGTGTTCTACATATTCTATCCACCAGCTTCAATCTAACTCTACAAATACCAGCTACTCGATAAGGTTCGTTGTTACCACATGACAACGACACCTTGCACCACCGTTTCATATATTTGAAACAAATCCCAATTAAGATACGTATGGAACGTACAAGCCGTATCCAAAATCCACTTCTCATCAGGTTTGAATTCCACATCAAAACTTGTCAAAACATCTCCATCATTCAAATAGTTCTCGGCTATATTGGTCTCACTGAAGTATTTGATTGTTTCCTAAAATTTGTAGTCAAATTACCTTTGTTCTGCAATTTGTCGCAATCATTCTTAATGTGTCATTTCTTCTTGCAATAAGAACAAACCTGATTACTAAAATTTGACATCTACGAACCCCTTTTCCAATCGCCATAAACAATAAGGCATTCTCCATCTCCGATCTTAAATCCAACAAGATGCTTCATTTTCTCTTTTGAAAATAAGGCATCATACTCATCTTCAATGGTGATAGTATCACGAATATACAATATTGTGTCTCTAAATGAAGTGAGTAATGAACACAAAAGGATTAAGGCCAAATTTTTATCATCGTACTTTACCTCTAAAGCCTACAACTCAGCGACAATCTCCTTGAACACAGCCAGATGATCTTCCAAAGATTCGCCTTCAGTGATACGATGAGAATACAACCTCTACTCCAAATGCAATTTGTTTATCAAGATTTTAGTCATGCAGAATTGCTCCAACTTCAACAACAACGCAGAAATTGTTTTCTCCTTCAAAACGCAGCAATCGTTTTCTCCTTCAAAACATCCTGAAAAATATTGTTAGAGAGATGAAGATAGATCTGTGAAAGTAGCTTTCAATCCTTCTGTTGTTTCTCCTCCGTCATCCAAGTTGTAGGCATTTTATCGAATCTCAACTATGCATAATCCAAATCCATTTGCACAAGTACAACTCGCATCTTTACTTGTCATAACGAGAATCTTGTATTGCAATCCAAGAACGAAATTTTATACTTCATGGCTGTCATCAATAACAAAACCCCAAACAAATCACAACCAATAACTCTGATACTATTTGTTGGGAAATAATAATATATATGACACGATATGAAATATATGATCGCAAACAAACAATAAAATAAAAGGGAAAGAATTAATTAGCAGATGAACGAAATATTTTATTCAATTGACTAATGTGAAAAAAAATAAATACAATAATTGTGCTATATTTCAGTAATACAAAATTTATGAAAAGAGTCTAGTATTTATTAGGGTGAATGTCAAATCCTAGAAATACAATAAAGATCGAAACAAGATCAAAAATCTCATGGAATAAATGAAACGATATTTTGCCAATATTTTTACAATAAAAACACGTGCAAAATATATATATTTTATCGAAAATTCTAACCTAATTTGGGTCAAAAATTCCAACAAAAAGGGCATCCATCTTTGATATCAGCTTCTAATGTCGAAAAGGCTATTCGGCGCATTGGTAAGGCAAAAATGTACTATTCGTCTTTTTTCGACACGGGACGAATAAACAAGTTAGTCACATTTAGTTAATTAATCTAATAGCCTTTTAGTGTGCAACAATTAATGATGCAGATCACTATGTAGTTAGTCACATATAGTTAATTAATCAAATAACCTTTTAGAGTGCAACAATTAATGATGCAGATCACTATGGCGGGCTTAAGCTTCAAATGGAGTGTTTATAAGTTCAGATCCATAAAATTTCAACATAATGAAGCAATAAAGAAAAAACAAGTTTCCCATTTTCCATTTGGACCATTTCTTCCACCCCGCCCCACCCCGCCCCACCCCACCCCACGCAATGTTCATTTCAATACAAGAATAAGGTAGAAGAAGTGATGAATAAAGGTTTATCTGAAGAAGAGCTTACTTAGCAAGGAGTTGGAGCTCTTGAGAGTCAGTAGCGAACTTCATTTTCTTTTTTAATATTGTTCAATCCTTCCTATGTCCCATAATCGTCATTTTTTATAACTTAACCGCGTTTTTAAATTCAAATTTCATTTTTTTTTCTTAATTCAGTAGAGGAGAGAAGGCTTTATGATTGGAGCTTAGCAAGAAATGAGAAACCAGACACAAACATGTGGCCATTTGAAGTTGACATAACTCAAACTCCTACAGATATCCCTCCTCCGGTAAACAAAATATTACTGGCTGTAATTTATTTACGTTCTTACTCAATATTAGTTATAGTAATTAAGGATAAGCCTTGAGAAGTCATTTTCTTTTTTCCTTTTTCAGTAAATATTGTTCTACGAGGTAAAATAATCCGGGAACCATGCTACATGTACAACCCTATTTGACAACTTTGTTGACAATTATGAATTGATAGGAATCTACACAATCCATTTTAAAAACTATTTTTAAATCAACCGTACAGATCTTGACAACACATGAATTTTCAACAGAGTTGTTAACAAAAATTGTACAAATAGCTTTATTCATAATCTCGAGCGGTACTTTCACCAACTTGATAATATTTAAATATTTCTGCGGTATTCTGTTTGGTCAATGATCAAACCAGTTGCGGTTTGCAAGAACCGGGGCCAACCAGATTAGTGTTCATGTGTTAGCTGGTTAATACTATCCTTCACACTGTTATCCAGTTATTTTTCATTTGTCAACATTTTCGACATAAATTGTTTTGTTAAGCTCTTCAACTTCCAAAGGATGAATGAATACAGTATAATTTTCCCACGTTATTATATGACAGATAGCTCAAGACATTAGATAGATGAAATGGTACATCTTCAATCCCACTTGATTTTGTTTCGGCC